GGGGGGGGGGGGGGGGGGGGGAGTGAGAGGATTGAAAATATTTAATCGAATTTTTAGACGATTTTTTCCCTCTAAAAAAAATGGAAAATTGGTTGAAAAGAGCTGACTATTTGATTCCGATTTACTTATATTTTTTTCATAGATAATGTAAAATTCATCTTGAAAGGATGAAAAAATCAAACTCCTGACATTTTTCTATTTAAAAAAATATGAGAAAAAAATTGTATTTGTTTTTCTAATTGATTCTCGTTAAAAAAAAACATTAAAAAATCAACCACCTATTCTCAATATTATTTTTTTATTCCTTCCAATACCTCAAGTTATGCTTGAAGAGATAAAAGAGATCATTAAAAACATTGCAATATATTTTCATCTGTAATTGTTCTTCTAAAAATTAAGGACAATTTTCTTTTTATTTGACGCATTATTTGGGTCCCAATTTAATTATATATATATTTTTCTAAGATAATGTGAAATTTATCTTGAAAGGATCATGATTTGCGCCGAAAAAAAATCTCCCAATATTTTTTCTATTTAAAAAATCACGGGCAGAAAATAATTGTATTGGCTTTTGTAATGGATTCTCGTTAAAAAATACTGAAAAAAAAAATAAAAAATTTTACCGATTTTCAATATCATTTTTTATTCCTTGTAAAGCGTCAAGTTATGCTTGAAGAGATAAGAAGGATCGTTAAAAAACATTGCAACATGTTTCCACTTGTAATTATTCTGCTTGCGTCAAGAAAAAAGAGAAATAATTTATAGAATGAATGCGAATAGTTATTTCCTCTGTTTGATTGAGAGGTAGGAAAAAACGGTTACAAGAGCTCGGTTGATTCAATCTCGATGGGGAATACCGGAGAAAAAATTTTCACGGTTTATTGAACTCGTGATCGACGAAAACTCGTAATTTTTCATGTTTTCAAGAGGAAAAAAAGTCTTTTGATTGGTGTTTTTTTTACAAGGATTATTGTGGTAATCCCGGATAATCGGCGATTCTTCCTAGTTATTGTGTTACGACACGAGGAAATATACTCACTAATCATGCATAAACATGATTCATTAATAACGACAATCTTTTAGTGATTTTTAGTTGAAAAATTTCATGAAAAAAGGGTTTTCTCACTTTTTTTAGCACTATAATTAGATTTACAATGCACGGATTAATTTTTGAATGGTAAAAAAGATATTTTAGTAATAATAAACATTCACACGACACAACATAACAATAAACAATTGAAAAACATTTTTTTTTGGAGAAAGAAAAAGTTAAACAAACGTTTTTGCTGGTTGTTTTGGAAATTTCACTCATAAAAAAAAATTATTTCAACGAATCAATAGTTTATTTTAGTGTTGTTAGACTCCCAGAATTTTGTTTTATTTTTTCTATCAATTTTTCGATTTTTTGAAAAAATTTTTTTTTAATCTTTTGGTTTTTCCACTCACAAAAAAATTATTCAAACTCATTGAATATTTGACAAGGAATAAATTTAGTTGGGGATCATTTTTTGAGAATAATATGCAATTTCAAGAATTCTTTAGAGTTTTTCAAATAATTTTTTGATTCAAAAATAATATTTTCACGAATTTTTCGAGGGTTTATAATATCAGACAACTCACAGAATGATTAAAAATATTTTAAACTATTTTTAGATTTTTTTTTTGATTGAATAGAACAAGTATTAGCCACAAGACCATTTGTCTATAATTTTTTCGATTTTTAAAATTTTTTTTGTCAATATTTTGCTCATTAAATATTCGAAAAGGAATTGATTTCGTTGGTGATCATTTTATGATGATAATATACAGCTTCAAGAATTTTTTAGACTTTTTAAAAAAATTTTTTGATTAGAAAAATGACATTTTCACGAATTTTTCGAGTTTTCACTTTTAAAAAATTATTTGAACCTTTAAAAATTCGTCAATTAATTCATTAGCGAGGGTATCACTTCTGGGATAATATTAAACAACTCACAGATTTTTTAAAAATTATTTAGAATAATTTTTAGATTTTTTTTCAGTTGAATAGAACGAGTGTTAGCCACAAAAACATAAACTGCCACTGAATAAATAAAAAATACTGTGGATGCTTTTGGTATGACGAACGTCGCGCCACTGGTCCCCCGAAGATGCTGAGCGCAAGCGAGCATTATTAATCCCGTTGAAGTCAATCATATAACCGAGTTAAACACGCGTTCTCACGCTGTGAACGTTTGGCTTATTCCCATAATTTTATTACTGACCTAACAAACACGCCGAGGGGGATTCGCACTAGCAATTTAATCCGCTAAGCGCTCGCACTGGGTCAATTCTTCCGGATGAACATAATTTCATTCATTTTTCGGTGATTGAAAAACAAAGTCCATTTTTGTGAAACATTAAGATGTTTTAAATGCAGATGAGTGCGTGCATTTTAGAGGTGAGAATGAAAAGATTAATTTCTTCCTTGCAATCTGAAAAAATCATAATTTTTTAGGCGATTTTTTCCTTTCTCAAACAAAAAAAATTGACTATTTTTTTTCTCGTCAAAAATTAAAATTAAAAAATTGAATATTTTCCATCTGCAATTTTTTTACCCTCATGACCCTTCACTTTATGACAATTGTATTTGTTTAAAAATGAACAAGAAAATTATTTTTTTCTGTAGAAAAAATATAAATAATAAAAATGTTCAAGTTGAAATCATGAAATCATTATTCACAATAATATTTCGACTTCCCTAAGAAAAAAAAAACAATTACAATTTTTCCAAAATTGCATAAACACAAAGGTAAAGTGTCCCATATGTTCGTCCCTCATGTATAGACTCAAATAAAGGCTTACAATATCGCCCGATCGCCGTGCACCTTAAAAAAAATGAAAACAATCTCAATAAATATTAATTGTACCACAACAATGATGCATTCAGTGATGCTTTGCGATTATCACTGAGCGGTTTTAGTATCACCGTTGCGTTCTTGAGAAGGAATTTCCTCAATAAAACGGGAAGCGACGAGAGTGGGGGACTGGCGCAACCGAGAGGATCCACATTCTAACAATTTGTTTTCAGTGTGTAGATGCGTTTTATCGATCCCTGGTGAGGACAAATACGCTGGACAACTTCCAACGGCTAGCGGAAGGAGTTCTGGGGGTAATCAAGGACGCCACGAGGAAAATCCCGCCTGATAAAGACGCATCTGTAATCTGTATTAACATCTCAATGATTCAGCTGTGATACGTAATAAGCTGAACTGATTTGGGAATCGGGGGTTTAGACTCACTGGTTCATAAAGAGGGGAATTCCACCGGAAAAATTGCACATTATGTAACTGGTTGAATTTTAATTTCAAGATTTTCATACAATTTTTAATATAGGATAGTGGGGGGCCGTGCCCCCCGCTCAGTCCGCTCGTCCATCCGGGGGGGGCGCACTTTCTACTCGCTTCACTCGTCAACCTTGATTATTTAAATGGTTGAATTTTAATTGCAAGGTTTTTATTCAACAGCNCGGGGGGGGGGGCGCTCGCTAAGCTCGTCAATCTTGAGGAATTACTGAAGAATTTTAGTGCAATTTTTTTTGTAGCTTCAGGATTTTTATTCAACAGTAGGGGGCACGCCCCCTGCTCATTTTGCTCGCCAACGACGGGGGGCGCACTTTCTGCTCGCTTCACTCGTCAACCTTGATTATTTAAATGGTTGAATTTTAATTGCAAGGTTTTTATTCAACAGCAGGGGGCCGTGCCCCCCGCTCAGTCCGCTCATCCACCCGGGGGGGGCTCGCTA